CGCGGCATTGATTTTTGACGGGCTGAAGAAAACCACGAACAGTCTCACCTCCATTCCCCTCTACACCTTCATGGCGTGGCGCTTAACCCTTCCCGTGCTACGGACACACACAGACGTGCTTTAACAAGTTAGATCGAAAAGAAAGAGCATGGAAAGCGTTACCGGGGAAGATACTGTTCCTGGGCCCGTGTGTCCGCGTGCTCCACTGGCAACGCGCAAATTGTGTGAGGAACCGCCTATATGCCGGTAGCACGTGATTGGGGAACATGAAGAAGGAAATTGCCACGGCGGGTCATTTGTATTCATTGTCCGGAAATAACGTGCGCCGGCAACAGACAACTGCATATTCAGCTTGTCGCCATTTTGGTGCGACAGCTCGGCACACAAGGGCTGTCCATCCTTTCTTGCGATGCCAAACATCGTTACTTACTCAGTACAGTGACTGTGGCGTAGGCTGAAAGACCGAGGAATGTGGGTTCGTTTCCCGGCAGTTGCAGATTTTTTCTGTTCAATCACACTGTCCAGAACGTCCGCCAGGGCATGAAGCTGACCGCTCCTCTCGGCCGCAATCTACTGCCGAATTTAAGAGTGTGTGGATCTGTACCTCAAACTCCCCATCAACTTTATAACTTGCGTGTTGTAAACTGGGTATAACCGTGCGCAGCTGCTGTGCGGTGTCGCGATAACTTGCTTATCGCTGCTAATGGATTTGATTTGTGTGATGACGTCTAGCCTGATAATTACTTGCTAGGCCGTATTGGTTCCGATTTAGTGTTATCTTAGGCCTTTACGGTCGACCTCGTGTCCTGCTGACAGCTGTCATTCGTTTTGACAGGGCGCGGTGATTAGCGTACTGTAACCGTTCAAACACGGGTCTGGTTCTGCTCGTAGAGAGACTACATTTGGGGGGGCAACAAACTATAACGCCGGTTTTGAAGGTTCCCAGGCCGTGCCCTCTCGTCCTTCTGGTAGAGGTACTGCGTGTGAACAGGATTAATATTTTTATGACGTTGGAAGGGCTGTATTATATTGAAATTTTTATGTTACTATTGGGAGGGCTGCATGTGTAGCATGCAGTGCGACAGGGAAATTTGGGTACCAACTCAGCATTTGCTCTAGGACCGAGGAAAACAACGGAAAACCTTGCTCGATTGGCCGGTCGCAGGACCTTCCACATGCAAACTGACTTTTAGCCAGCAGACCGGCATTAAGTACGCGAACCCTAACGTTGGACCCTGTGTGTGCTGTTGCTTTATTTGGAAATGAGGTTTACGTGTTTTACAGGCGTTTGTTTTTATGTGCGAATATGCGATTCTACCTTGTGCGATATGGTACATATCCGTTCCTCCTATTTGTTGGTTGTTTAACGACGCAGTCCGTAACTCCGAATCTTCAGCGCTGAATCGTGGGGTAACGGTTAATAATGAACTTGGAAGTATGTGGGACTGAGAAAAGCCGCAGAAGATCGCTGTTAAAATAGCCGATGATTAGAGCCTGACACCATCCGAGGGCATATCAGAAGCGCTGGCACTCAGTTATACAAGACGGGCGCTGAATCGAGAATCAGACGCGCGTCATTGTTTCCTTGGAAAGAAAAGTATGCCAAATCGGATGCTGTTATGACGCGCGGCTCGGAGGTACAGTTGCTATAACGGCTGTCCACTGGTATCCAGACAGCCTCCGGCAGTCCTGCGTTACGTTCCTGGCAAAAGCAAGGCGTCGCGGAGGTCTGAGGGCTGGGGCGAAGTATGGCTGCGGTTGACGCTCTTAATAAACACTCGTAGTACGGGGCATCAGCATGTTTCGAAGTAAATATATACAATTAGTAACTAGGGCAACGGCCTGCGAGAGTTCAGCGAGAAGTCGTACAGTTTGTTACGTATATAAGCTCCCCGTGTTCCTCTCCGCTTCTTCAAGACATCCATCGTTGCTTCTTCGTCCCCTCTTTTTCTTCTTCTGTTCCTAATCTGTGTTTCCTTCTCCCCCTCTTCAGGCACCATCGTCTCTTTCCATCCCCTTATTTTCATTATTTTTGTTTACTCGTTTTTCTTTCAATATATCTTGACCTTCACCTTTTGCGTTCAGGTTCTGAGAGGGATATGATGTCAGGTAAAAGGTGAAGTTGCCCATGTGCTTAATTACTTAAGCACCACGCCATGAAGAGATGGTGGAGTGGAGGTATAGCTCCACCATTCTCGACCTCAGCACTAGCTGGAGGTGAGTGGCCAGCTTCACGCCCCGACCTCTTCAGCCCCTGTATCTATTGGATGGCAGGGTGGGTGGGCCCCAGAGCTGATTTCAACGCTGTGGAGTAGAGAGAACCGAACCCTAGCCGTCCAGCCCGCAGCAAGTCGCCATCCTGGCTCCTGACAATGGGATGTAGAGATAGGTTTTTGTGGTTGAAGTTTATGGTTTATTTTGCGACGCTGTCAGTACCTAGACTCTGTGACGTCGAATGGTAGAATGAGAGATGAAATGGAAGGAAGCAGTTGTGGCCTAATTTCGGCCTGACGAAGACCATGATGGCGGTTTCCCGGCCGAGATTTACCCCGAAACCATTGCGCCAACTTGCTCGGTGCATTCCTTGTTTTGTTGCCTTCTCTGTTTGTCATGGCATTGGTAAATGGTCCAAACTGAATAATTTCTGTGTGGTGACGAAACGTGCGCCTTCCATCTGACGTGTAAACTTCTCACGACTTTTCTTTGGTTTCTTAATAAACCAGGTGGTTCAAATTGTTCGAATTGCTGTAATTTGCGGTTTCTCCTCAACAGAACTGTATAAATACGTATGTTATGGCTACAATTTATGTTGCCTCTCTAACCTACATAATTTTGTGATGGCTTGTCGTTGCGCTTCCAAGCGGCAGTTTCATTAACTACGAACACGTTTTGGCGGGATGATTACAGCCTACGTAACAGAACGCGACTTGTAAGGACACCTACAGTGTATGCCAGTTTGTTTAAGGAAATAGTTGCAATTTATTGTGAGAACCATACGGAACACACAAATACACTCTGTGGGCAGAGTACTCAGTCCGTACCCCACAGGAAACACATTACGTCTCCTCTACAAAGCCCAACCGGTTAATGCTGTTTAGGGAAACAGTCGCTGTTTATTGTGAGAATTATACGAAATACATCACGCGTATAAAATGCAGTCGCTTTATGTCAGAGCAGATGGTGACTGTAGTTAGGATTAGATGATTTAAGGATCTCAAATTCTTGCCACCCTACAGAATTTCCCCAACTCGGTGGGTAATTTTCGCCATTGTCATGAAGTATGCTTGCTTAGAAGAGGCTCTGTGTCCGTATTTTAAAGTATTGGCTGATGTGACTGGACTACGGATGCGAGACAGAGCCCGTAGTGGTAACAAGTTAGAGGGATAAATATAGGCTAAGCCACCCAACATTGCAGCGATAACACGTTATCGCGTTCCCGAATTCCCGCCCTGTTTATTCGTCAACTCCCCCATTCCGTATCCAGTGTCACTGCGTCATGTGCAGAAGGCGGCGACATTAACGTCTTCTTGTTACCAACGAATTAATCTGGCGCCTCACCGGAACCCAACTCAGAAATTCGCTGTAACGGCAGGTAAAGATAAACCTGTACGTTGGGAGATTTACACGGCCGTGACTGTTGAGATCGTGTTCTCCTGGTCTGTGACACCGTGTAGTCTTGTAGACATACCGGTGTTTCCTAGCTACCTGCTGCCTCTGTCTTCAGCTATGACATGCTATGACACACTTCTAATGTGTATTCTGAGATGTTCAGTTCGAATCTTGGGCTGAGACATTGACTGTTCAGAGGTGTTTTTGGTTTTCCTTGGACCTACCAGAGAAATCCCTGTATAGTATTATGAAATAGGCCACAACCGCTTCCTAATTCGTCCGATTCATCCCATCATTCAACGTTATGTATTTTAAGCCACCGGCAGCATCATTAAATAATTCACAAACCGGCCAATAAATAAATATTGAACCCTGACACTTGACGTCTCACTTTGCCTTACTTCCTGGATATTAGTGTAATTCTGAAATGTGGACCGCTTTATTATTATTATTATTATTATTATTATTATTATTGTTATTATTATTGTAGCGTGTTATATCGTCCATCGCTGAGCAACGAAACAATGGAAATTGTTGAGACCGTTGCGTAGGAATATCCGTAGCAACGCGTGTTCATTGCTAACAACGCTCGTTACACACCCCTCCCCGCTAGGCTGTGACGTCATGCAACAGGGGAGTCCGTGCAGCGACTGTTGCTAGGCAATCAGTAAACGCGTTTTCAAGACAGTTGAAGCCTGGAAGTCACTACAGCAGGAGAAGTAATTGGGATTCTGAAGTTGTGAAGATTTAAAGGGTGATTGAAGATCTCATGTGCAATATCTGGACTGATCTGAAATGCCAATTCCTGTATGGAGATCCGTTGCTAGGAAACGATTAGTGGAAGAGAGAAAACCCTACTGCGTATGCACCGGCGAATTGAGGTGTGTGTAAATCAGCGATAGCGCTGTAATTTGAGTGTAATTGAGAGAGTGCATGTAACCAAGCTGTTAATAAATACAATCATCCGATCTAGAACCCGTCATTTCGTCACGCGTACCCTTCTACACGTGACATTATTATTATCATCATCATCGGTGGTGTTGGTGGTCGCAGTAGTAGTAGTAGTAGTATGTCACTAGGTAATAAAATTAGCGTAAGCAAAATAATATCGATTTGTCGTCGTTCCCATGGATATGAAATACAAAACAAGTCGCAGATTGCAGCGATAGATGGTATTGTTTTGTTATTACAGTGTTGACCGTTGCCGAACAAAGGTTTGTTATATCAAGCTCTCTGCAATAGCGGTTTGAGAACAGCGCTCAAGGGCTGTAACGTGTAAGAGTGGACCAACGGGAGGGTTGCCTGTGGAGACCGTGAGCTTGTCCTGTTGACTGCCCACCAGCACATGTTACAGTCGGAATAAACATGTGATGCTCTGTGACATGTTGCAGCTGGCCGCGGACTTCGTGTGGCGATGGCCACTCCGGCCATAGGGCGCCGCCGGACGGCGTCCTGTTTGCGCACCGTCGTCTTTCTCTTCCTGGTGACATTTGTGTGGCTGCAGCTTCATGTGGCTAGTCTCAGTGGCAACAGGCAGGCGCCGGGAGGCGACGCCCCGGAGGGCAACGACTCCACTGCCGCCATCCTCAGCATGGTCCCACAGGTTTGGAGTCCACACTCGCTACCGTATCGAGGGTTCCCTGGCAGCAAGAAGCTGCGTCGCTCTTCCCTGCTGTCTTTCTTTTTTGTGCTTCCCCACTTCTTCCCTTCCTCACCCTTCTCTCTCCTTTCTCCATTTTCTTCTTGTTTCCATTTCTTCTTTTTCAGTATTGTCCTCATCTTTCCTCCTCTCCTTTTTTATTACCATGTTCTCTTTCATCTCATTCTGTACCTTTTACTTCTCTTCCTTCTCCCTTCTTTTCTCCTGCTTTCCCACTCTTTCCCTTCCTCACCCTCTGGTTCTTCTTTCTTCACATATTCTACTCCTTTCTTTCCTCACTTCCATGTTGTTTCCCTTCAGTGTCCTGACCCTCACCATTATGCGTTCAGAGTCTAGAGTCACTTTATAGGCTGAGGATCCTTTACCATGTTCACAAGAGCCTGGCAGACCTCTGTATCACGTTTTGTGCATGCTACGTTCCCTGCACATCCCATCCCGTCTTTGATTTCATCATCATAATAATTCCCGGTGAAGAGGGACCTTAGTTCCAGTGCCGGTTTCCAGCATGTAGGAACACGTTTGTACATGTAATGTGTGCTAGTCACAACATTCTGTGAACTCTCGTTAAATCTGTACAAAGACAGTAATGCCGGGAGCATACTGATGTGTACATGCATTATCCAAGTTCATTTGATAATTGTCAGGTGCTGCACAAGTTCCTGACACCGAAACCACGTAACAGCAGCCATGCCGTGGGGGCCACCAACGCAAGTGATACAGCAGCAAGTGGGCGGGCTCCCTTCAACATCTCGGAAATCCGCCGAAACATAGAGCGCTACAACGATATGCAGCAAGTGCTGAATGAGGAGCTGTTTGGGCCTGTTCAGAACGACTCGCTCATCATCGTGGTCCAGGTCAGACATCACATGTCATATTTGTGTTCCTAAACCTCTCTGCCCCACTAGGCTTTCCAGGATAGATAAAAGGTAAGACTATCCCTGTAACAGGCCGTGGAGACCCTTAGGGTTGTGAGATGTCGAGGCTCCCACATTTTCTAGACAATCGGCTCACAGATGGCGGTGAGGTTGTCAGCGTTACGTGCACCAGCCGCACTTTACCCCCAGGGAGATTCCTGGTACTCATTTCTGTTGGATGCTGAGTCGACTCCAGGGCCATAGTGTGGCAGGAAGGATTGAAAATTGAAAAATCAGTCATCGGGAGTCGAACCCCCAACCTTTAGGCATGCAGTATAGTGCCTCAACCAAATATCCTAACATGTGCCTCTTCTGAGGTTACGACAGTGCAAATGCTGGTTGCTGCAGTGGTGATGCTATAGGCTTGGGTCTTGGCCAGGTTTTCCTCACACCTTCCACACAAATGTTGGGTAGTACCTCAATTGGAATGTTGCTTCTTCCTTCTAGATCCTTTTAAATTCACCATTAATCAATTATTCTATCGTCCAGCAGTAGCCTCTATACTGACGGCATCATAAAGTATCTCAACCAACATGATGTTGTGTAGTGCTGTGGGCCCTTAGGGGAAGCGTGGATAGGACACTAAAACTGCAAGGTGTGTGTGTTATTACAGGTGCACACACGCATCATCTACCTGCGGCATCTGATCGTAAGTCTGGCGCAGGCAAGGGACATTGAAACGGTTCTGCTGGTGTTCAGTCACGACTACTACGATGAAGAGATCAACGAATTGGTGCAAAGTGTTGACTTCTGCAAGGTGATGCAGATCTTCTACCCTTACTCAATACAGACGCATCCGAAGGAGTTTCCCGGTGAGTCTCCCGGAGACTGTCCCCGCAACATCAAGAAGGAGCAGTAAGTAACTCATCAGTACACCTGCACTAATTTGATATACACAAAAATATAATGCACGTCCTAATTGTATCAACTGATGGTCATTGTATGCAAAGCTGATTATATGCAATATGCAGTACACCAGCTATTCTGACTGAAGTTATTCATTGTTTTGCTCAGTCCCTCCAGGTGAATGCTGGGATAGCACCTCAAGTTAGATCATGATGTCTTCCTTCCACACCCTTTCCAGTTCATCCGCCACTAATTGCTACGTTGCAGCTTGAGATACTGTTGTTAAATAAAACACAACAGAATAAGTGATAATTTGACATGGGCTTCAAGCTTAGGTACCTGAAGGAAAGAGACCACTTTGAAGACCTAGGCATAAATGGGCGAATAGTATTAAAATTGTCTTAACAGAAGTGGGAGGCGTGGACCAGATTCATTGGGCTCAAACACATTTATATTATTAATTGTTCTTACACAAAGCAGGTTGGCTCAGACATCAACGCTTCTGGCTCTTATTCAGGGGTGCCCAGTTTCAATCTTCGTGAGGACATCAATTACCATGACTGGACTCCTTTTTTTTGGGGGGGGGGGTTGAGGCAGTCCCTCCAGATGAATGCTGGGTCAAGACATTGAAATAGGCCATGACGACTTCCTTCCACATCCTTTTAAATTCATCATTCATTAATCATCCTCTCATTTGAGACTGAATAACATAAGCAGGTTATTTTCTGTGGCACTTAACAATCTTTTAAGTGAATACCTGTTAGTGTGTTCAGATCTCTCACTTGTTCAACATCCATTCTCTTCTGAGGCACCATCTGCCTCATCAGCAGATCCAGTGTTGCCACGGCTAAAATTGCTGTGCAATATCTGTGCAGGGCCAGGGACATGCTCTGCAATAACGCCCTGTATCCTGATCTCTATGGGCATTATCGAGAGGCAAAGTTCACGCAGACGAAGCACCACTGGTGGTGGAAAGCAAACAGGGTATTCAGCCAGCTGGAGGTCACGCGCAACCACACAGGTATGTGCTCAGTGCTGTACTTATTCAATATACATGTGGCGGTCCCTTGTCAGCTGACATGCAGTTGGCAGATTGAAGGCTTTGTGGGCAATTGAGGTTAAGGGAACTACAGCCACTGTTAACACTCATCAGACCCTAAATGCAAGGGTCATCCAGAAAGTAGAGACCGCTAACACACATGTACTACTTTAAGACTTTGCATGGAACATTTCTTTTTCATCCTCCCTATAGTCCAAACCTGTCTCCAAGTGATTTTCACTTGTTCACACATTTGAAGCAGTTTCTGGGTGGCACGCACATGCTTCATTAATCTGGATTATTGCTTAATGCAGCTGACCCATCCAGACTAGCAAGGGTTTACTGTATACGGACTGAGCTATAAGGGCCCTCTACTGCAGCATCATATGCACAAAATAGTGTGAACAGCTGATCCAGTGTCAGTAAATGTGGGTGCTGTTGCAGGCATGGTTCTGTTCCTGGAGGAGGATCACTTCGTGGCCGAAGACTTCATTCATGTACTGCGGTTGATGGAGCGAACGTGCCGCACGAGTTGTGACCGCTGCAATATCCTGTCTCTGGGAACGTATCTCAAGACATACAACTATTATGGAGACTCCAAGAAGGTAGGAAGGTCATGTAGCATTACCATGTTCTCTACCATAAAATCTCTTCTGCTGTGCTTAATTTTGTGTGCATTACTTGCCCCTTCACAGTCAACACATAAATATATTGTATATGTGCCGTTTTTCATTTTTGTGATCTATTTTATAACACTGTGAGTGGCTCAGACTGTACAGTGTGGAATGGTTGGATGACTGATGAATAATGAATTGCTCAGGATTTGGAGAGATACATTCATGGCCTAATTGAGGTACTGTATTAGCATTTGCATGGAGGAACTGAACAGAACCCACAAGAAACCTCAGTCATGATGCCCAATGGCCCAGCTGAGATTTGAACCAATCACCTATTCAGTAGAAGTGTACCACTGGAGTATGAGTATCAGCCAGGCTAGCTCAGTCGGTATAGCTACTGGCTATGTGCTGGACAACTGAGGGGTTTGAGTTCTAGCCCCAGTAGGGTCAAGAATTTTCTCCACCTCATGCAGACTAGCTCTGGGGTCCACCCAACCTCCAAACCAAAGGTTGCCAGGGGCTCTTTCTCTGGGGGTAAAGCGGCAGGGGTGTGTAGCTGACCACTCACCTCCAACTAGTGCCCAAATACAATTTCAGAATGCTAAGTTGCAGGGAAACCACATGGAACTCTGTGCGCTACAGTTGAGATTGCAGCATTATGGTCTTGTTTTTAGCTGTGTATCGAGGACACACAAAGTTTAATAAATGGGAATGTGAAACAAAACTGTGCTGAGTTGTTCTTTGTTCCATACTAACACAGTTGTTGATGATTTGTACCTGTGAATGTTCCAGCCTTTGTGTATATAATGTGCATTTGTGTCTAATGTCATGCGTGTGCAAAGCCTGAACTTTTGTCACTTTTTCTTCTTTGGGTCATGTGACAAAATAGCACGCTTTTTTTTTATTTTACTCCTATCTTACTGATGTTTATATACACGCTTTTGTAAGTCAGTTTCTTATGTATCTTGAAGTTAAATGTGCAATTAAAAAGCACTATTAAATTAGGATATTTGCAGTCCTGTCTAGTGGGTGCCTGCCATAAATGATTATAGTATTCTCTATGTAATGTGTGGGGCATATCCATATGTATTACATACATTAGTCCTTGATATCACAGTGGTTACTGTATGTATCACCTGGTTTAACGTTAAGAACTCAGCACTTTTTTCCAGCAGAACATATTTACGTATTTTGTATGATTGTTAGAATGAAGAATGATTATTCCCCTGAAAACAATGGTAGGATCTGAATTCTTAATATTATTTAAATTAATGTCATGCCTTCTGGAGCAGGGAAGTAACAAGCTACACGTCTTGGTCTGTCAGGTCTCACATTTGGCACAGGTGGGGGGGGTGCATATCTGCTGGGGTTGAACATTTTTTTGGAAGTATGGTACGCAGACAAATGTTGTGACATCCTAGGCATCTTTTTGAGGATCTTGCCTCAGAAAATTAGTGGTAAGCCAAGATTTGTCATCACCACTGGTGTCCAAGCAACCAAGTTTTTTAGGCCCCGCTTATCAGCAACAGTATTACTGAGTGTTACCTTTGTGTGGCTGGCCTCTCTCTTCCCCCACCACAAAATCTTGTATTAATCATATAGTCCTATAAATAAAGTTGATGTTAGAGGAAATTATTTTATGCCTCCTATAATACACGGCCCCAGCAAAGTACTGTCTGCTCAGATGTGATGCCGTGAAGTCTGGTATGCGCTTACCGGAGTTTTGAAGGAATTAACTGTCTCCATCTTTAAGGTTGAAGGATAAGCCGAACATCGAACAAGATAAAAGGAACACGCTCTCTGTTTATTGTGTGTGTTTCTGGTTGCATGCTTGGCCTACTCTTCAACCCTGAAAATGAAAGCAGCGAGTTCTCCAAAAGACTGGTAATAGACCATGAGGCTACATGTTGTTACATCCCAGAAGAGAGCAGTGTTCATAGTCACTGCTGTGAGCACCTCATGTCACTAGTATAAAGCATGGTTGGTATGTTGTGTTTAAATTGTCTCTTCTTTTGGGGTGATGGCATGTAAGATTATGTTTCACCATTGCTTAAATTAATTTGTTATGGTGTCAAAATTGTGCCGTTTGCTGTGGTCATATTCCTTGTAGCCCCTTTAGATGAGGGTATCTTAGTTTGAGACTGGACTTCATGGAATTTATGAACTGCACTCACATGTTCTCTGTTCATTTCTCTCTGCCAGTTATCAGTAACCTCTCGGCTACCGACTGTGGTTACTGAAGAATCCAAATGTTTAATATAGGATATTAAATGACATTCTCAAGAAATGGGTCAACTGGTACTGGTGACTGAACTTGGAACTCTGGGCCCATTTATTTAAGGGTTAAGTTCCGTAGAGAGGTAATTGTCTTCAGAGATATGATGCCATATAGTCTGGTTAAATCGAAACTTTGGAGGAGCCTGCTGCTTCCCTCTTCATGGTAGAAGAGGCTCAAAATGTGGGGGTGGGGGTGGGTAGTGGGTTCCTTCAAAAGACTTATAATGATCTGCCAGACTGTGCAATGTCACATCCTGATATAACAGTAATTTTTAGTCTTTGCTCTTGAGAAACTTATGAAATCTCTTACATTTGTTTTGAACACAGTGTTCAGTAAATACCATATATGATGTTGCAACATTTGACATCATTTACATAATTAAATGAGTACCGGGAATCTTCCTAGGAGTAAAGGACAGCCAGCGCATAAGGCTGACAACCTCACTGCCATCTTTGATCTGATTGTCTAGAAAATATGGTAGCTTCAATGTCTCAGCCCTGTGGACCTCCACAGCCTGTTTTGGTGATACCTTTACATAAATTTATGCAAAACTACAGTTGGTGTAAGCATGGCAATGTTTTTGTCGTTGCCATGGAAACCAAATGCAGTACCATTCTGTTCTGAAACTTATATCCTGGATAATGAGAGCGTCTTTAAATAATGGACAGAAGAATCCTCAGTTTTGATTTGACCAGAATATGGCGTCAGTAGAGGGCAGTGTTATCAGCTGGCAGTATAATGTTCACCTTCACTGAAAAAGATCTCTCTAGACTATTACAGGCTTATACTGTCAGGTTTTCTTTCCAGAAGTTTTTAAGTGCAGTGAAGTCATGAGTTCAGAGCGTCACATGAAGCCTACAGTGTGTCGAGTGGGTGGAGGGAGTGTTTACTTGTGGAAACGATTCATGGAGATGAGACTTGTCAAATTTTCATGTGGAATTTTCAGAAAATCTAATAAATTCTTTAACAGAGCCCTGTTTTCCTCTGTTCTTTACTCACATCTCTAAAATTAAGTGGACTGTGATGGTGTGTGTTTGAGGTCTGGAAGCAATTTGCTGTGCATATGTGCTCACTGCTTCTATATGTGTGTGTTGTGTTGTTGCGTTGCAGAAGGAGGCTCAGAGAGCCCTGAAACGTCATCAGACTTTCTCTCCAGGGTCAATACCTCCATCTTGGAACTTCCAGGTCCTCCCCACTCTTTATCAGCACTACCAGAAGGTAGAAACAATAAGCCAACTCTACATCTCAGTCCTAATGCTAGTTGTATGCTCCTGTATGCAAAGGTTACATGTGTTCTTAACCTCTTAAGAATCTTGAGACACTGTGCTCTGTTTTGTAATGAAAGCTCCATAGAAATGTATATGAAATTGAGGTAGATACAGATTGTAGTGCCAAGCAGCAGTGGTCTATACATATGTACATAGGGTCCATATCTTAGCCACAGTGCTGGCTATCCTCACTTAGATTTTGTGTGGTTTTCCTAAGTCCCTCCAAACAAATTCCAGGATTGTACATTGTTAGGCAATGACCACTTCCTTCCAGACCCTTTCCCTTTCATCATTCATCAGTCCTGACATTCATTGCTTTCTAGTCTAGATACTTGTAACATAAATTATCCCACTGTATAACAGATTGTAATTTTGTGGGTTATGACACCAGGTAGTCTGATAGATGGCTACTAACATTTTGGAGGAAACTGATTCCCCCATTTTAAATTTGAAATCACTTCTACCCTGAAGGTGGGGTGGAACTCTAGCATTTCTCAGAGAGAAGAAATTCATTCAAAGTTTTGGTAGGGAAACCTGAAGGAACAAGGCCTTTGCAAGATGTAAGGTTAGGTGGGAGGATGATATTGTAGCGTGTAGACTGTTACTGGGTAACAACCTCGAAACAAACAACGGAACAACTTATGTTACTAGGGAACAACTGCAAGATAAGCAAATATAACAGAGCTGTTACTGGGTAATGTCTTGGCAAACAAACTTGTTCCCATGGAAACGCTTGGAGTACAACAATGAACGGTGTTTTTACACAGTCCATGCTGAACTGTTACAACCGAGACAAGTTCAGTCAGTTAAGGACTGACTGCAAGGGTTCAATTGAAGAGAAATCTCTGGTCATGAGTCTCAAGGGGCTTGACTGCAAGATGAACTGCTTGGCAGCAAAGAACCAGTCATAAAGTAACTTTGACTTTGCATTAGTCAGTTGAAAGTTGGTTTTAAAGGGGTCTGTGAAGAGAAGGCTTGGTTGGTGCATTTGAAGAATCTCCATCGTTAAGATCTGTTACTGGGAAACAGCTAGCGAAAGCAGACTGAAAACACTTAGTGATAGTGTTATAGTCATTTGTAGTTATGACCTGTAAGGGGTGAATAAATCCAATCTCCAATCCAAACCCCCCATCTGTAGTCACTCATACACGTGACAATATTAATATTGAAGTTAAAAGCAATTTAATTGAGGTTATGTAGTAGGCTCATCTGGCTGAGGATAGGGGCTGGTGGTCAGCTGTTGTGAACAGGGTAATAAACGCGTGTGTTCCCTAAAATGGTGGGCATTTCTTGGCTCTCTGAGCAACTGTTAGCTTCTCAAGAAGGATTTTGCTACATGGAGTTAGTTGGTTAGATGAGAACCAGCAGTCAGACTAGATGGTCATAACTCACAAGACAGCAATTTAAATTTTCACCATTATGAAACCCTCAGACTTATGTATAAATGAAGTTTGTAATGAAGTTATGGCAGATATAAATGTAGGAGACTATCGTTATGTCTGCAAGAACTTGCCCTTGGACCCTATCCTCAAGCAGCTCAATCCAGTCAGAATTGTTGTCCCATGTGCTATGCCAAGGAATCTCAAGTGGTCTATTCCCTTGCGATTTTCTGACTAAAATTGGTCTGTTCCGTTGCGATTTTCCAACTAAAATTGGTCTGTTCCCTTGCAATTTTCCGACTAAAATTGGTCTGTTCCCTTGCGATTTTCTGACTAAAATTGGTCTGTTCCCTTGCGATTTTCCGACAAATTGGTCTGTTCCCTTGCGATTTTCCGACTAAAATTGGTCTGTTCCCTTGTGATTTTCTGACTAAAATTGGTCTGTTCTCTTGTGATTTTCCGACTAAAATTGTCTCTTATGTTTCCCATTTCTCCATGCATGCTACATGACCCAAACTCATCTAATCCTCTTACTTAGTCCCTTAATAATATTTGATGAAGTCAAGAAATTGTACAGCTGGGCCCCAGAGAGGGAGCTAGATATCTGTCCCTCATCCTTTTTCTGGAAGGACAAATCAAAATTGAAGAAGAGCAGAAAATATATGAAATACTACTAATAAAAATGAGTAAGAAAATCGTTTGGTTGCCCCTTTTGGAAAACTGCCCCCCCTCACAGAATGAATCCTGGTGGCACCCATGAAGCTGTTCATTGTGTAATTCTCTCCAGTCTCCTCTTCATGTAATCATGGTAGACACGAGGGAAATATTGTGCTAGATTATGAAGAGAGAGTAATATAAAATATCTACTCTCCTTTGCTTTATATTCAAGATAGGAGACAAAATTCAGAGACTTAAGAGGTTAATTTGTCACAGCGTCAAATGAATTTTAGTTCCTTAATTTTTGTTTATTAAAATGTTCCTAACAATTCTGTAGAAATTAGTGCATATACATTATACAGTTTGATTTTCATTTTGAGTAAATTTGATGAGTACATTCTTTTGGATTGTGATGTTGTGTAGCTCAGTAAATGCCCACCTAATGTTTTGGAGGAATATGCCACCTCAAACTTAAGGATTGAGGACCAAGCCAAGCAAGAAACAAACAAGAATTCCACCAAACCATGTCCACTAAACTACACAGCATTAAAACCCAGGAGACCATATATCCTGCATGATCAGTGTTCTGAAGACCCGAACCCAACATTGAATCAGTTTTTGTTCTCCAATACTAAGATAGCCCTCTTGATGCTCACATGTTTCTCAATATGAGTTCCATATTTGTAGAAGATTTTGGTTAAGTATTCTGTATTATTTATATCATGGCTTTCAATTAGCAGTCTGGATTTTGAACCTGTATCTGCTTTAATGTCTGCACTAAGTGTCTTTGCTGCAGCATGCTTATCCTGTGTGTATTGAAGATGTGATAAACATAACAATAATTGTGCAGTAGGAATGGATATGTGGACTAATTAATCCTGTCAGTGTTAAGAGTGGGAGAGCTTTGTTTGTGCTGTAGAGGACATTGTGTGTTATGAATGTATCTGTCTCATCAAATTAGTGTATAGTGTTGCTTATTTTGAGTTATGTCACAGCAGTAGAACAGATATGTATGGATATCTATATTCGTATGTGTCTGTGACTAGAGACGAGGTTTGGATTGGTAATCGGATTTATTGGACCCTTACACTCGTTAACTATGAATAAGTATGACAGTATCACAGAGTTACACACTCCGAAGATCAGTGTAACTACAGCACACATAAAGTCTCCTTAGTCTTCATTAGCCATTGTCTGGTAGTGGCTTCCAATTGCAGATGTTCCCCTTCCTCCAGGTTCCTGATTTGTCACCTGTTTCATCTACCAGCTTCTCGTGACTGATACTCTGAACTGAACTACCAATCCTCCATGTATGGCCCCAGTGACACTAGTGCCATCTAATTTTAAGATTTAGAAATCATGTGTGGTAAGGGATCTTGAAAAAATAGATACTTTTGTCATTTTCAAAATCAAGTAACCATAGCAACCATAAGAAGTCCAGTATCTGTAGTTAGAATTTTATATCTTTATGAAATGTATATACAATCACACATGAATATTCTGGCAGGGCAGGTAAATTGCTGCTGGTCTTGGTTCTGGGTCATGCAGGACTCAGGACCATATTTTTCTGTCTCACAATTCTGGGAGCCATGCATCTGCTTTTTCAGGGCGCTATATTGCGCCTGCTGAGATTGTCAGTAAAGCAGCTAGGTAGCCTTCAGCATGCCAAGGTGCAGGGAGTGCATGAAATGTGTAATCTGTCACAGATGCCAGCTTTCCAGTCTTGTTTCTCTTCTCCCTGCTGAATGTTTGTCGCCTGTGTCCTGTCACTGTTCAGTTTCATGTTTCAGCACAGGAATTAATGTGAGTGACTTGCAGATGTTGCTGTCACAGCAGAAACTGTTATGGTCTTCAGAGATGTGATTCCCTATAGTCTGGTGGATATGTGCCAGGGTTTTGGAGAGAACAGCTGTCTCCATCTTCAAAAGACACTTTGAAATTTGAGGAAGTGTGTTCTTCCAAGATGTTGGTACTTATTTACCAAGCTACACGGCATCACATCGCGGATAATTGTATCTTAATATTCACCCAGACTCTTACTTCCATGTATCTTGCATTTCACAGTTATCGCAGTGTCGGATGCTATGTAAGCTGCAGATTTGAAAATGTAGTATTAATAAATTATTCAAGAATCGGTTGACATGACTCTGTTAACCATACAGAGCACGGTGGTAACTGTATTGCCCCCATCTTTAGGGGTGATGGGTGGTAATACCTAACTACACAGTATTGTCTACAATCCAGAATCACTGCTGTGAGAGCCTCGAATCACAGATATGTGCTACCTGCCGTTAATGTTTGGAAACTCTTGATTTGCCCCACACACTGTATTTATGTGTTTCATATGATTGTCACATTAAACAGCAGTTATTTTCACAAACAGTATTAGCCAGTTGCAGTGTGTCTTGTGTGAGGTAGGAACTGAATTCTTAGATATTAGATGAATTTTTTCAGATTTCAAAGGTCATTTGATGCTCTGTTCAGGCGGAAGTGGCCCCGTGGGTAAGCAGTAAGCACAACATGGGGATGGCGTTCAACCGCAGCACCTGGCAGGATATATGTCACTGTGCTGAGTTCTTCTGCACGTACGATGATTACAATTGGGACTGGAGCCTTCAGCATATTTCCCAGGGCTGCCTGGAACACAAGCTCTATGCAATGGTCATGAAAGGACCTCGGGTCTTCCACATTGGGGAGTGGTGAGTTCATCATAGCTAAAGAACCCTTTGAATACCAGAGTGTGGGTTTGGTTCCCAGCACAAACAGGTTCGGCGTGCGGCACATGTAGGAGAGATAAAAATTCATACAAGAAGTTCGGCTGAAAGGGGGAAAAGGGTCACTCGGGAGACCTAGACATTGATTATTTACCCCTTGTCTCTGTGGTCCTCTGATAACTTCAGTCTCCTTTAGAACAGGCCTGCCTTCTTCATTATTGTTTGCCTTTTCCCTCCAGTATCTTCATTTTCAGCTCTTGTAAATCATTCTCTACATCTTCAAGCTATATCAGTCTGGGCCTTCCCAGTTTTCCTCTGCCTTCTGACTTACTTTCAGACATGTGGCCACGCCATAGCTCAAGCGGTTAGTCGCTGGCTTCCCACTGCAGCGGCCCCAGTTCGATCCCAGAGCTGGTCAAGTGGGATTTGTTGTGGACAAAGTGGCACTGGGGCAGGTTTTCTCCAAGTACTTCGGTTTCCCCTGCCGATCTTCATTCCACCAATTGCTCCACAATCACCCTCACCTATCATCTGGGGCTGGTACAGTAGGCCAGAAGTGGCTGCAGTACAAGGGATTTAGTCCCACCCACTAGCAGTAATAAAAAAAATACTTTCAGATATTCTCTTGACTACTGTTGTTTGTTCCATTCTAATCACATTCCCCAAACCCACTCTAACCCTCCCCTTGTAATATCTGCTACCAGATGAGGGATTTATGTTGTATATTACTCATATATGTACAATAATAAATTACTGCTACGAGAACGTCAGATCTGCTAACTGAGTATGGTTTTCTGCAGTGGGGTTCACCACAAGAAGGCCAACTGTGAGTCTACTGCAGCTATATCCAAAGTGCAGCAGGTGCTGAAGTACGCCAGCAAACATCTGTACCCGAACTACCTGACTCTCACAGTGACTAACACAAATAAGAAGCAGAAGTTGCGTAAAGGTAACGGTGGCTGGGGCGATCTGCGGGATCACCAGCTCTGCATTAACATGACTCGCATGGGAAGGTAGTATAAGGCGAGTCTCGGGCCATGGTGAGCACTGAGTGATGTGAACAGGTGGTGTCAGATCTGACAGTTGTAACTGCATTGAAAGAGGCCAGACGTTAAATTCTTGATGAACGTTAAACTATGGTACCGGTAGGTGTTGTAGGTTTCATCACAAGTGAGCCAACGATGCTCAGATGTTTATATGTAATTCATGTTTCCTGCAGACTGTGTTGTAACATTTCAAATGGTTGGCATATCAGTCTCTTGTCCAGTAAGTTAGCTGTTCTGTTGACATATTCATGTAATGTCTTGTGATAGAACTTTGCGCCAAATGATGTGACATGTTTGTGTTCAGGTGCTTTGAACTGTGTAACTGCCTGATTACAAACACAGCTAAATTGACTGAAACTTGTTCCTTACATGACTGTTAATTCCTTCATGAAGGGAATGGCTACTTTAGAGCAGTGCTGTTTCTTACCTTTTGATTGTTGAACTTGTAAATAAGGAGGCTTGGGTAGGGCAGCTATCATGGGAAGTCGCACATTTTAAGAGTACCATGTTCCACGGTGTTCAGTATAAGTTAATTGATGTTCCTCTGAAATTTCAGTGAAATTCTACCAGACAACACAGTATCACATCCCAGAAGACTGCCGTGAGAATGTCAAATCCAATTTACAAATATTAAATTTCTAGATTTGTATGCTACATGATAAGCTGCATACAGATCTCATACTCAGACGCAAACTTGGCTACAAGAACATGCCTACCTGGCGTAGGTGTAGCAGCGTTGATGAAATTGTAAACATAATATTTTCATTCCATCTTCCCTGTTGTGAACTGTTAGGTTAGAGTTTTGATGTAACGAGGTTTTGTCATTTCCAGGAACAAATGATAACTTTGAATTCAAAATTAAACCTTTTATATTGAGTTTTTCTTTAAAGAAAACGGTGCCTTTGTTCAGTTGTATGTTTTCATGGTAAAGTAGAAGGGGCTAGGCATCATGACGAATAGTGATCTGTTGTGTGTCATGTCTGCCTCTGTGTTATAGTGGTCAGAGTTCAATTCTACCAGATTTTCTGAAAATTAGTTGGTCTCGAACGGGGTCCACTCAGCGTCATGAGGATAATTGAGCAGTAATGTCAAGGAAATAGCGGCTCCGGTCTAGAAAACCGAAATTGACGGCCGTGGGGATTCGTTGTGCTGACCATGCGATGCCCTCTATCTATAGTGAACTATATCAACCGAGCGACCGCCGCTTGACGGCGAAGTTAGTGCCCTTGCAGACTAAAACCATGGAGTTTGCTTGTTTTTTTAAATAAAAAAGAACATATCCAGAGTGGGACAGAATGGGGTTGCTTAATAAGTTCTCTTATTTTTATCATTGAAAGGGTTAATTGAATTATAGTTATCATCATGTGAAGTAACAGATTTGTGTCATCAGTCGGGAACAGCGTATTATATTGACTTGGAAGAACAACCTCCAGTTTTTCAAGCACATAGACCACTGGTGGGCTCATTCATTGTTTAAAATCATGTTTGGGCTCTTCACAGAGCCTCAGCCATATTGCTAGAACTATAATAGGGAGCAGAGAATTAGAAGATGCTTTCAATTATGTGATATTGAAGTAATGAGACTCGAAGTAAGTGAAATCAGCATGTAACTGTAATAAATTGGAATTTGATACAAGTCTTGAAATTATTCAGCACATTGGGCTACATAATGGGACACAAAAAGTTAATAATAAGTTGCTGTTCAAATAGTCTCTGTTGTCATAGAGAACTGTAACTGGTACCAGAGAACAAAACCAGATGTCACTGAATTCTTGTACTGTTGAATATTTATTCAGAATTCTATGTTTTTGGATTATCCACAGATTTTCAAGAGAAATAATTACTGTAGCAGTTTTATTAGATGTTGAGAATCACTGCTTTGTCAGAAATCGTTGTTTTAAAGTAACCATTCTCTTCCCTGTTCCAATGATAATCTGTGTGATTGGTGAACAGCCTCACAGCTTGACCAGTTGTCCAGTTTTAACAAAGTGATAACTTTAGTTAAATTACGTTTGTCCCACGGATTTGTGGTTCATGGAACAAAACATGGTGGCATGTATTTTCGTGCATTCATTCCACCCAACGTGTTCTATACAGATTCATCACATCTCTGTTTATGTGTTAATGAAGAAACTTCAGTATAGAAGATACATCCAAGAGCTTTCATGGTCAGCAATATGTGTTATGCGTGAATGAACTACACATGAAGCTTACAGTGCTGTCGAGTTGATCAGGTATTTGAAGTTTACTGCTGATTTTTGCTGTCTGTGTTTGTAGTCACAAGATTCAAAGTGATAATTATGATTGATCTGCAGTTCTAAAGTATGAGGTAAAATTGGATTCAAGAAATGTTAGTGCATTGTAAAAACCTGTTTTACAGCTGGGATAGCTCAGTGAGTACAGTGACTAGGCTGTGGTTTAGGTGATCAGAAAATCAGTTCAGCAGGATGAGAACTTGTTTCTTCTCTCTCAAATCCAGTGGGTGCTGAGGACTGCACCATAAGATGGATATAGAACCAGTTTCCAAAATGTTGTGGTTCGTATATTAAGAGCCAGAATGCTTGACAAATTTCAAACAAATGTCCTTAAATAGTTAAGATCTGTTCTGATCTCAGAGTGGATAACTGGAGAACACAGTTTGTCAGGTTCAAGCCTTGTGTTCCCATATGTGGTCAGTATGGAATCGTAGAACTTGCTGTGATGTTATTTCAGTATTTGGTGCTGCTTTTCTCTGTGGTGTAATCCAACCTTATCTGTATTGGTGTCCATTTCCGAGAATTGGGATACAACATTTGGAAGGCTTGCAGATTAATCATACTGCATCATTTGAATCTGAAAGTTCCTACTGGGAAGTCAGCTGAAGTATGATTTCCTTCTAAATGTATGGAATGTAGGAAAGCTGAAGTGAAGACAGAAGTTGTGAGTTACCAGTTGCATGTGTGATGATTTATGTGATAGTTCGATGGTGGACCTGGGAACTATGACTTGACACTAAAAAATTTATTTTGTATATACATGCTGTATTTCCTTTTACAAGACTGCAGACAGTTGAAGTATTGCATGCAATGGATATTTAAATTTTATTTTCAGTTGGCAATTGCTCTTTGTGTCACATCACATCACAGTGACACTTGACTGTAATATGTTAATATTTTGTATTAACAGTAGACAATAACAGTGTGATATCTTACCATAAGTTTCTATGCAGTTGGTAAGCAATCTTAATTTGTGGGTTTTGATTGATTGCTGAGTGGGCAGCAAGTGTAAATTCATGTTTTCTTGAGCCTCAATAAGCCTGGGATGTGCACAAGTGTCGGGGCATTCTGAAGACTGATTGTCATATATGTTTTCTTTTTATTATTAGTGTAATTAATAGTGCCAGTGCTTTTTGTTGGTACTGTTATACTTGGTTTTAGCCTCAAGACCAAAACATAAGAAGCATTGGTAGATAACAGTACTTTTGGCAAATATATACCACTTGTTTGTCAGTATATGTACTAGCAGACTTGAAAGGATTCTGGCAACAGTGGATGACACACAGAATTACTGGGTGTATGTACTGAGTATATGTACTATTTGATAAAAGTACAGATTATTACTATGATTATACTTTGTTTTAGAGAATAACAATTAGTAGGTTCAGAATGTTGCTTTTCACATGCTCTTATTAATGCTAGTATGAGATAAACAGCATGCACGGCAGGCATGTTGGGGATGGGACAGTCTGAAGGGAAGAGCTCACTTGAGAGACCTAGGCCAAGATGGTGGGGTAATTAAGAGTGTGAGAGAGTGGACTGGACCTACCTGGTTCAGGATACAGTCCAATGGCGGGCTTATGTGACCACAGTAGTGAGCCATCTGTTACAGGTCAACATGCTTGTTGGGGGGGGGGGGNCAAAACTTCTGAGCTTGATGCATGGTTCAAGAAAAAAAAAGGAAAGCATTTTCAGTTTTTGGTTAATACATAAGGCTGCCTCTCTGGAGTGGGGGCTGAAGTCATACCCCTGTATTGTAGGTTTGGGTTAGGCAATGGGCTAGCAACCCGTCTGAGGAGAAAGATTTGAAAGCAGAACTGTCCAAATTCAAGTGACAGAAGGAAGTGAAGCAAACAGGTAATGGGAGGGGGGGTTAGAATGTGGATAATGGAGCCAGTCAGTGAGAGAAATGTTAACTGAGGAGAATGCAGAAAGTCACATGAGATGGGAACTTCGTTTGAAGAACCTCCGAAGGTGAAAACATCAAAGAATGGGAGTGGTGTACAGCAGATTTGAACTACAGCTCTGTAATAGAGAGAAAACTATTTACATCTGAAACAAGGTGTTTCTTTACTATTGCTGACTGGGAAGGATGATTGTGTGGATGCATATTCCAGCTTTGATGAGCATTCTGACTGTAGGTGTAACGTCTATGTTTCAGTTTGAAGTTGCATTGCCCTATTCTCTACATCCAGTACATCCAGACTAACTCAGTTGATGCATTCCTGAAAAATTTGGTATAAGGTGAAACCATGTTTCCCAGACATGAATATTTTATAGAAAATAATGTAACTTGATGTTATGGAGAGGTCTTGGAGAAATTTTGCTTAACTGAAAAGCCACGCGAGCTAGTGAAAACCAGCCGTACTTTAAAAACTGTCTTAAACCAAATTTTGTTGGCAAAACTTGTTGTTGTTTGTATAAATAGGAATGTTGCAAAGATTTATTACATGCTGTCTGGTGAGATATCACACTGTTTAATTACTCTGATAAGGGCAGGATCATTTTGATACTTGTTTACACAGCGCAAAGGGCTAGTTGCTATTCTGACATTACTGTAAGATGTAGTGAGTGCACCACTGTGATGTTTTTTGAAAATGCTCTCATGTAATTTCTTGTTATGTGATTTTTAATGTAAAATTTTCAGGACCGATAAATTATTAGAACTTAATCTGTATAGAATGTGCAAGCGTGGCTCACCTGACGTAACGACTAGGCTGGACGAGCGGTGAGTCGCAGTTCATTTCCCAGCAGGGGAGCAGATTTTCCTTTTATCACGTCCAAACCGGCTGTGGGGGTCACCCAGTCTCCTCTCCAGTAGATAAAGCTGCCCTGATATGCAGTCGACCACTCACCTTCATCTGGTGCTGAGATTAAAATGCATGGGCCTATAGTTCCACTCCCCCATGCTTTTTGTGGTGTGATGCATATTTAAGCACAGGGATACATTTTTCTTTAGCTACCTTGTGTATGTGTATTAAGTTGAATGTATGGTAATGTGCACAGATGGAGACTAGACATTGGATTCACATGAATGTTGGGGACGTACTGAATGACTTGTGACATTTCACATGTTGTATATTGTGCATTACACTGTGTCAGAAACATCTAAAATGGTGCTTCATCAGCAGATATTGATGTAATCATTAAATCACCATTAGAATGTAACTGTATTCTGTTCTTAACACATTATGGCAACTAAAGTAACCTTACTGGAGACCTTGTTGAATGCAAGGTTGCCAACTCTAGGTATGATGTGCCCTGAGAGATGTTCTACACATTGTTACCAGTGTCTTAAGGAACACTATGCTGGAAACACAGTGTGATATTTGTACCGTACCTTTAGGCAACATCTGATAGACAAATGTATGTTGTGATGTGGCATCTGGCAGCGTTTTCAGACTGACCTGGAGCTTTACCTCCAGTCCCTCTATGTGCATTCACAGAAATCTCATGCTGTGTTTCAGACCTCATTGCACATTCTTCGTGCTCATCATTTTGCGTGGAAACTCATAAGTCTAAGGGTATGAAGGGAACATAATCATCATATATGCCAGTTGTTTGGGCCAAAGTAAATTGGGAACATGTGTTGGGCACTTGAGGGTGTGAATCCAATGTCTCTTGTTCAGAACATTCTGTAGATCCCACTTGTCACACAACATTTGAGGTTCTTACAACAGGTGGTATGAAAACTACTGTCTTCCAGGACATCTCATAGATTGTTACTGATGTTTTGGAGGAACTTGCTACTGCATCTTCCATGTAGAGTAGGCAGAATGTGGAAGAACAATGGTCATAGTAGGGAAGGCGA